TCTTATTGACAATCCCACTAGTCACTTCAACCTCCAATCCCTGCCTTAGAAGGCCAATGTCTTGCAATATCTTCTCCATTAGCAAACTGGGGCACAGCCTTATTACAAGTATGTTGTACTTTGACAAGCAAAAGGTCCTAATACTGATAAAAAAAGAACAGAGGTCTGGGGAACTGATAATTAGTCTGAGAAAATGAGCTGGACTTGTAAAAATCCTACAATTTGATCACGAAACAGTGTTCCTGCTTTTTAACCAACCAACCTTCTGTCCATTACTTTAACTTCTGACTAATCATTCCAAAAGAGACTTGAAGAAAAATCCCTGACTTAGGTCAAAGGCTTACAATGTTTCTTCCTTTAGCTCACTGGGACACAATGGACTTCTGTATGCTACGAGATCACGCTGAAAATGGCAAACACGAAATAAGGACTTTTGTAAAGAAAGAAAGGACACCCCAGATGGAACTTAACCTCTTAAGCCCGAGAGTCCCCGGTACCGGGGACTTGCCCCCTTGTGCGTTACATTTTCACTCATAGCTCACGAACCCTGAGAATAACCCACACATATTAAATACTGTTGTGTTCAGCGGAAAAAAAAAAAAAAACGTATCTAATTCAATTTCATATTCGTGAACCACAGCTCGAACGCCATGCAAATAAACAACAACATGTCCGGAGTATAATTCATGACCACGTTTTTGTTTATGTGCGATATGTATCCACAATATAAACGGAAACACCCAAACCATTACATTAAATGGAAGCTAACAACCAGCTGAATCCAGTGATATTCAACTCATTAACATTGCATGAAGTATTTCAGAGCAGGGAGCGAAAGTTCCACGAAAAAACGCCAGCGAAAACCAAGCAAGCATGTAAATCTTGTCTTACCTTTGCCGTTTTTTCAACAAAAAGTTATTTCCATAGCGATAAAAGTCCGTTTGTTGTTATGTCCGGTCGATAGCTTCGCGAAAACTCCATTTTGGATTATTTCTTTAGCTTTGTGGCGTCATTACGTCACCAAATATGGAATGACTCCCCGTGCGTAAGAGCACGTCTCTCCACGCTGCGCGTCGTGTGATTCGTCGGCGATCCCGCCAGTCTCAAAATGGTTGAGCTGATTGGTTTCCTCAGAATCAGAGCTTTCCAGCGATTTATAGAGCTCCCGGATTTGACAGATGGTCGGGGGGTAGGGACACGCAGAAGCTCGACGTCGAAAGCGTTTGTGAATGAAAGGTTCCTAAAAGCGCAGCAAGATGGCGTAAATGAGCTTCTACCCCCCTTTTACAGCGTTTCTTTAGGAGTTTTTTTTGTTGAAATCATGTCCCATAAGCAACAAAAGAAGACTATTAACGTAGCTGAAGCTTTGGACAAGATTTTTCCATATTTCAATTATTGTGCCAAATTGTGCCAAACTGTGCCAACATGGATTACGCCTGAACTTTGTTCAATCAAAACCTTTACAGAATATTAGTTTCTTGTAGTATGAACACCAAACTTGCTACAGATGTTCTTGACATGTAGTGGTTACAATTGATTGTGTTTATTTGCTTCGTTATAAGTAAAATAAGGAGATATTGGAGGAAACATGTTTTTTTTAGGCAGAGTTCATTTTTTTTGCCATTCCAACATCCTTTACTCTTACCCAGTGTTCTTGACTGTCAAATTAACTCATCCACACCACTCCCCAAGAACCTATCTTCATTTTGATACCAAGATTTGCAGTTTAGGCCTTGTAAAAGCTGAGGAAATGCCTTAAAAAGTAAAAGTATAGGATTTTCGGAAAATAGGCCTCAGGGCTTAAGAGGTTAAGGATGGCTACCTCCTACAACGTGTTTCTGTTAAGAAACTGTGGATTGTTCTTACTGTTCCAAACTGGGTCTTGAAACCTGGACACTCAGATTTTAAGTCTGATGTATTACCAACCGAGCTATCTGGGCTCTAGTTGTTATGTTGTCTGTAGTGATAATCCAGGTTTCTAAAGATTATCCTCTGGCAAAAGCTTTTTGTATTATGAGATTGCTAAAAGTACTTATGGTGTAATCAAGAGGTAGGATTGTACATGTCCGCCCAAACAGGGACTTGAACCCTGGACACTCAGATTAAAAGTCTGATGCTCTACCAACTGAGCTATCTGGTATCTAGTTTACATTTTGGATTTAGTGATAGTCCTGGTTCCTAAAAATATTCCTCCTACAATGTTAAGCGGTGGGCTTGTTGGCACAGTATTTTCACTTTTGAAGGAATTTGCTGGGATTCACTCCCAATAATGAGGCTTTATTTCTTTTGTCTCTATTATATTTTCGAGGTGAAAAACCTTAAACACACAAACACCAGTGTCAATACACAATTTTAAAATTCAATAAATACAAATGAAATAACAATGTAATTGAAATTCATAAATATTCACAAATTCATATTTTTCAACATTAACACAGTTTCACATGCATTTCTTTTAAAACCATTCTCCATCTTTATTTATTTACTTACTCTTAGCTTTTTTAGTTTTTTATAAATTTTTATAAAATAAAACTCTCCCAGAGCCCGTGAATGAAACCCCCTTTACATAAAATGAGCCGCCAGAGCCGACGACAGACAGAGCGCACAAAGCAGTGGGGTGGCAGGTCTCTTACTGGCAGTCTCCTTCAGTTTGTTTAGATTTGTGCAGTTTCCACTTTGTTTTGCATCCAGGCCTTTCTTCTCTGCTCTTTTTTCATGCTCTGAGCTCCACGCAAACATATACTGCCACCCTGTGTCAATCAGTGATTGAATACACCTGGCGCTCCTCGACACGCAGATCGGAGCGCCCCAACGTATGCTCAGTCCCGCCGCAACACCTCCCACTCAACCTTTTTCTGTCGTACATGGTGTGGTTGCGATAATTATTTTCTCATTAGGTTAAATAGTTTTAAATCCTTAATGCTTCAGTATCTTTCCTGTTTGACTATTCTGTTTTTAAATTAATGCCTGCGTGACTATTCTTCCAGTTTTTGTGTACAGACAGACCTGACATTTGTCATGACATTACCTTTAAACATTTAAACATGCTAACTCTATGTGTTTCTGCAAACGTGTGTTTCTCATCTATTAATTTGATTTGTCAATGTCTGGGATCAGCCCATCTTAGTATTGTATTTAAGACTGATTGCCATGTCCAAAGGGTATGCAACCAACGCAACATCTTTGGGTTCGATCTGCTATCTAAAAACCGTTGCATGCATCCTGAATAAATACTTTGTGATTTTGTCAATTCATATTTTGACTCCTTGATATTTTTGCCTCATTTTCCACCACATAAATGGCGTCACGAACAGTCTTTGAGAGGGAAAAGGTCTCGCCAGGACTTGCTCTGCTGAAGGCTAGCGGTCTCTTCTGACAAACAAGCTGGGCCCGCATCAAGAGATAACAGGTAAAGCGTTGATATTTATATTTTCGCTCCTGCTTTCTCTGATGTTTGTCAGTTTAGATCTTCTGACCATTTCGTAGAGTATTTTCTTGCGATTCACCTCCAAAGTTTAAGAACTTGTTTGTGAGAAAAGAGGTGTAAAGTGCAAAAGCATAAAATAAAAAATTATTCCAAATCAAATTCCAAATTTAGCCCCTAAAACTGAATTTGAAACGTCAGATTCATCAAAATACATAAACTTGTGACTGATGATGATGGACACTGAAGTTTGGGGTGTAAAGAATTAAGATACAATAAAATTAAAACAATTTGCAATTTCTGACACTACTTTGCAACACTTTACTTAATCCAGGGAAATAAGTCTTAGATAAGGATATACTTTATCAATAGTGGATAAAGGATATGATCTAAGCCATCAGATTGCGAATTAAGAATCAAGAGTATATGTAAAGTGATTATAAAAAGAGAGTATAAAAAATCTGATGCGGGGGGCAGACGCAGAGTTCTACAGAGCAGCCGGTCTGAGACTAGTTGTTTGGTTTGGAAAAATCGATCTATCAGAGTCTACCTGAATATCCGGTGGGGGTCCGACGGGGCGACGTCACACGGATAATTTTTTTGTTTTTATGCCAGATGGTTAGCTTCCAGGTTTAACCAGTCTGAAAGAAGAATCTACCAGAAGCTTCTCACGGGACTGACTAATGGTTTATTCTTGGGCACTTAATTGCAGAGAGGGTGGATACGTGTTTTTCACAGTCCGGATACGGAAAAACATAGTGGTTAAGTAAAGTTGAGGTAAAAGGCTGAAGGTTTAACAACGTACCTGGGAAATAGACATTTTGTCTTTTGGAATTTAAGAATTAAGATTAGCGTAAAGCATATTTTGTGGACATAATTCAGCAAATTAAAGGTACATGCTTGTTATTACTGACCGTTTTAGCCGGTGACTGGAAGCATTTCCCACAGTACCTCAAAGTGGAGAAATGGTCGCAAACATACTGACCAAAGAAATCTTTCGTCATTTTGGCTTAACGACTTTTTTGCAGAGTGATAACGGTTTAGCATTTACGTCAAATGTTGTAGAGAAGGTGTGTTAGAAATTGAAAATTGATATCAAATTTAAAAGTGTGTATCATCCTCAGTCCCAAGGGCAGATCGAACACATAAATCTTTTTAACTTTATAGGCCAAACTTAAAAAATTGTATCAGAAATAGTAAACTAAATAACTAAATAAATTAAAAGCGAAGTCAAAATAATAATAAAAAAAAACATTTCATAAAAAAGTAACTAGAGTATAAATGTAGAGAACATCTAATACTGAAGAAACAGAACTGTCCTTTGCAGAAACTATATGTAAGGACTGAGAACAACTGCCATAGTAACACTGAGAGTACATTACCAACCCTGACTCTCAGCCAAGATAAAATCCAGCTCCAATGAATTTTAACATATAAAAGTCCATTATTTAAACCCAGAAGAAATAGCCTAATTGATTTCTTTAGACATCAATTACAAGTCCTTCAATTCAACGCAGAAACAGAAAACTATCCAAATTTTAGAAATAAAATAAATTTTTAATAAATATACTGCTCTCTTCAACATAAAATACAAATTTAGCTCAATTAAAGACATTTGAGGACAAACTTGATTCATGAATTGACATAAAAATGAATACAAGTGTTTAAATACCTCAATTTAGGATTTCTGTCCTGTCTTCATGTTTGTTTGTCTGCACTGTAAAAAATGACTGTGATATTTACAGGAAAACAATGTAAAATTCCTACAAAAAAGTATGGTAAATCCAAAAAATATATTTTTTTGTTTAATTCACAGCAAACTTTTGTAAACTGTGAAACAGAACTATTTGTTATATTTACAGCAACAATCTGCAATTTTAATCAAATTTATTTGTTAAAACTACGTAGATTGGTTAAATAAAACAGAGAAATACTGTACTACTTATAACAAAACATCTTTGTGCATTTGACATGCAAATATAGTGTAAACTAAAGTTTTAGTCTGTTCTTAAATAAAACCTATGATAAGTCACTTTACAAGTTTGTGCTGTACTTTTTAACATGATTGATACTCACTGTGGTACGTTTTACCCAAATTCAATTGTGAACCTGATATGTTGTCTGTCTGTATTTATGTATAAAAATATGATCTAAACCATTAATAATATTTTTTGTTGTACATTGTGTATAAAAAATTATATTTATGCTATTTGACACCAACGTAAAAACTAAACTTTTCCAGTCACTGGAAATCCCTTCCAAAAGCCCCAGGGAGGGGATCCCCGGTCTCTATCAACCCCCAATAATTACAATGTTCTTTTAAAATGTTAAAAGTTTACGAAACAAATCTTTTTTTTACAAGCAAAACAACAGTGCCTCCTCTAATGCGTTCTTCTCATTGCTTTGCCAGAAATTGCCCCTAACTGAGTCTACGAGTTTTGAATTTCATAGATTGCACATAACCTCGTCTCTAATTGGAAGTTGTGAGGAGCGGGGGACGCTCACCTGCGTCTGACGTCAATGAACGTCAACGAGCGTTCCAGACGAGGCGCCAAAACTGTCGCTGCACCTGCAGACGCCTTCGCTACATCGGGAAGTTTTAAACTTAAAGACGTTTTAGAGGGTCTGTTTCTGTTCATTTGGAGGATTACAAGTTTACACGGTAAGTTTCACTGTGTTTAACCAAATGTTTCCGAAAGCACACGGTAACGTTAATTAAGAGAAATATAGGCAAACGCTTGAAATCACAAAAATGATCACATGTGTCTTTTGTAAAAAGAAATTGGATACATTAAAAAATTGTGTACTGCATTGTAAAGTGCATAGAAATGAGCCCCGTTGTCTTTTTAAATGGGCATGACCTCTTTGAAGGTGTATTGTCATATGATCTAACATTGTACCTGAAGAACATTATTAAAAAAAAAAGTGGTTCACCTACTCACTCTTAAACAGGCGCATCAAACAGTTAAAATACAAAGGATCGGATGCACTCACAAAGCCATGTACTGTCCATCAGGAAGGATCCAAGTTATCAGGACAAGCTGTTCAAAACTGGAACCTTTTGAGATTGCTACCAGTTTTGATTGGTGACAAAGTGCAAAATCATGAGGATGAAGTATGGCAGTTAGCTCTCCAGCTAAAAGACATTGTGGATCTTATTTGTGCTCAAAACATTTCCCTGTCCCAGATAGCATATCTTGAGTTTGATCCAAGAATATTTGGAGTTGAGAAAGATGTTGTTTCCTGAAATGCAGCTGAAACCCAAACACCACTATTTGCTGCATTATTCAGCACTCATCTTAAAGTTTGGTCCATTGATTAGGTTATGGACGCTTAGGTTTGAAAGTAAGCACAGTTATTTTAGAAGATGTGCAAGACACTTGAAAAACTTCAAAAACATTTGTCAAACTTTGTCAGAACGTCATCAGATGTATCAAGCATATCTTTTAGCTGGGCAGGAATGCAGTAAACTACTGCAAGTGAAGGACAGCTGTGCATTTTATCCCAACCTGTACA